AAAGGCTGGCCAAGAAACGATCGATAAGGGCAGCCTCGGGGAGGAACGCCACGTCGCAAACGAGGCGGGCGTCCTGAAAGACCTGGATGTGGCGATCCAGGCCGGCAGCGCCACAAGAGCCGGATTAGCGTGTAGTGATGACACGCTCGAAGGCGTTAGTCACGTTGTATCGGGCTCCGAAGCGATCCTCGAGGAACGCCTGGAAATCCACGAAGGTCGGAGTCCGACCCTCACGAAGGGAGTAGGCATAGAAATTTTCCCAGGCCTCGAAAGGACCACCACGCAGGCGCGTGGAGAGGTGACCCACCCACGTCTCGGGTGTGGCACCCATGAGTTGGAGTGTGCGGGTGGCAGACTGCAGCCACCGAGATACGCGTATGCCTGTACCGTCATACAAGGCAATGTCCGACAAGCGGATGAGTGGTGCGCCACCGTTTTGGCGGCGAGGGGATCGAGGAGCGGAGGCCTGTGCCACGGCTGAGTAAGTCGGCGCAGGTCCTAGAGAAAGGGGCGCAGCCGACTGTGCGCCCGGGCCGCATGGGGGAGCAGTGGTGGCAACAGCGGCAGGCTGCGAGGGTGCTGCTGTAGAAGAGGTCGCAACAACCGCGGGAGTAGGAAGAAGGTAGGAAGGAGTTGTATAGGGTGCAGGGCGCGGAAAGCGAGCCTGCATGGGAGGAAGGGTAGAGGAGGTAGGGGGTGCGTCCGAAGGCGCGGCCACCTGTGAGGGTGGGGGTGGCTGAAGTCGTAAGAGGGCGAGGTCGGCCCGGAGCTGGGCAATCTCGTCCGCGAGACCTCGAACGTAGGTCGATTGAGGGGTGGCAGGAGGAAGAGTGGAGGGGGTGGACGCACAAGCGGCGCGGGGCGTCCCAGAGGGGGGAGAGCCAGGTGGCGCTGCGGTCGTGCGAAGGGGAGGGAGAAGCGGGGCACCCGTAAAAGCTGAGACCACGGTAGCGGGTTGTTGTACCGTGGCCGTAGTGACCAGGATCTGGGCGGGTGCGCCCGTAGACTGAGGGGGGGCCTAGCTCGTGGCGGCCGTCGTGCTAGGGGCGTGGACAGTCACCAAGATGGCCGGGTCAGGGGCAACGGAGGAGGAAGCTCCGTCGTGACCACGCTGTCGGAGGACGGGGGACCCGGACTGGGAGCCAGGAGATGACGGACACGCAACGTCCTGGAGTTGCTGCATGCCGGTGGCAAGGGTCGCCACCTGCGCCTGTAAGGGCGCGAGGGCCGCGAGTTGCGCCTGGATGGGCGAAAGGGTCGCGAGTTGCGCCTGGATGGGCGCAAGGAGGGAGGTGAGGAGGGTGTGTAGATCCCCCTGGGGCTGATGGCCCTGGTCCACTGGCACGGGTGTGGAGCCCGATGCCGTGGTCATCACCGTGTCGGAGGCGTGTGACGCACCGTCGGCCATGGGGAGATGACGGACCGGACTGGAGGGGGCCAGAAGAAGTCCGCGTGAGCGGAGGGCGTAGGGGGAAGTCTGCGGTAAAAAGCGGCGAACGGCGCTAGCAAGGCTAGCACGGGCGCCGTATACACATCTAGATGTGTATAAGAGACAGCGTCTCGGGTGTGGCGCCCATGAGCTGGAGTGTGCGGGTGGCCGACTGCAGCCACCGAGGTACGCGTATGCCTGTACCGTCATACAAGGCAATGTCCGACAAGCGGATGAGTGGTGCGCCACCGTTTTGGCGGCGAGGGGATCGAGGAGCGGGGGCCTGTGCCACGGCTGAGTAAGTCGGCGCAGGCCCAGGGGCTGTCTCTTATACACATCTAGATGTGTATAAGAGACCTGGATGGGCGCAAGGAGGGAGGTGAGGAGGGTGTGTAGATCCCCCTGGGGCTGATGGCCCTGGTCCACTGGCACGGGTGTGGAGCCCGATGCCGTGGTCATCGCCGTGTCGGCGGCGTGTGACGCACCGTCGGCCATGGGGAGATGACGGACCGGACTGGAGGGGGCCAGAAGAGGTCCGCGTGAGCGGAGGGCGTAGGGGGAAGTCTGCGGTAGAAAGCGGCGAACGGCGCTAGCAAGGCTAGCACGGGCGCCGTCAAGGGGGGGGGGGGGTTCGGGTCCAAGGTGCCCGAAGAGGACGGGGAAGTAGGGGGGTTTTTAGGAACCCTAAACCCTACGAAAACCCTAAGAAAAACCCTAACCGAGGTTTAAGTGGTTAGGGTAGGGTACCGGTGACCTAATCAAGAAAGTAAAAGAGCAAGCATAGGGGAGGGGAAGGCGGGAGAAAAATAAATAAGCAGCGAGATGTCGAGAGAAAATAAAAATAAATAAGCAAATAAATAAATAATATAAAAAGAT